GAAAGGGAAAGAGATGTGTTTAAAGACTTATCTTGGGACTATCCAAACCTAGACTTGTTCTTGCAATCACATATAAAAAACTATAATCTATTTATATGAAGTTTGGTGAGGCCAAAGTTGAAGGAGGCTCTAGAGGTTATGTAAATTATGATAAACCTTAACTTGAGAGACAACACTGCCTTGAGTCAATGAATGAATTTCTATTTAGGGTAAATATCCCTAACTTCAACGAAGATTTGGATATAAAAGAGTTCCTCGATTGGGTTGTCAAAATACAACAAGGTTAAGGAATGCATGAATGTCACAAAAAAAAGGATGATCAAACTAATCCCATATAGGCTAAAGAAAGGAGCTTTTTCTTGGTGGAATCACTAAATGAATATACATGCAAGAGATGGACAACAACATCTTACATCATGGAAAGGGATGATAAAGAGTTGCATGGCATGCTTCTTCCTCCTGATTATAAGCAGTATTGTATTTATTTCAACAATATTAGGATTGTTTAATAGATATGTTTATGAGTACAAGGTTGAGTTTTAGAGGTTGACAAAACGAAACTTTGTAGGAGATGGAAGGATAAATTGCAAGTTTGCTAAAGGGTTAAGGCTTGCAATCCAATACAAGATTCGAATGTACATGCTATAAAAACTAGCAAAGTAAATCCCCCGTAAACATAGGATTGCAGGAAAAAAATAAAATATTAAAATAAAAACCTTGATAAGTAATTACGATCCAGGATTACATTGGGAATTCCTATGACAGGTTTAGTATGAAAATATGATTACGAAGGGTTAATGTATATTTGATTATTAATGTCGATATTTGGAATGTCAAAAAAAAAAAAACTCTGCTGATTAAAACAAAAAAACACTATCAAAACTTTAATAAAACAATAATAATTTGATTATCAAATCATAGAAATTAATTATAAATGCTTATAAAATCGTCGAGCATTATAAGCAAAATAAAAAATATAACATGGGTGAGATGTTGTTAACAAAAAAAAGATACTAATAACAAAGTTGATCTTTCTTAAAGATCCTATAATAAAATGAGTAAATGAAATACTTCTAACAAAGAAAAGACGATTCAAACATCGTTAATATTTCTTATAAGTAGATTATAAATTTGTAATATCTTATCTGGATAACATACTAGATCAGTTACATAGAGTACAATCTATATAAAAATTTATTTATGAAGTAGATATCATCATATTCAGAGTCAATTATAAGATGAATGAAGAAAAATTATTGATATAAATTAAACATTGTATCAGTGGATGGTTAGGCCTTTCATACTGTTTAACATATTGAGTACTTTGATGTAATTGATAAATCATGTTTCTATATTTTTTATTAATAATTATGTGATAATTTTTTTCAATGATATTTTAATATGTAATTGATCTAAAATTAACCATTTGCAATATCTAAAGAAGGTGCTAAAAGTTTTATTGGAGAATAAGCTATATGTGTATTTGAAAAGGTATAGATTTATGATTGGCAAACTATTAATTCTAATGTTTATTGTGAGTGCAACTAGCATACATGTTGATGATGATAAGGTTAAAGCCATTAGATATTGGCTAAAATCTAAAATATTTAGTGAGGTGTGTAGTTTCTATGAATCGACTATTTTTTATAGGTGATTTATATAAATCTTTAGTACTATTGTTTCACCAAGTACTGAATACATAAAAAAAGAAGAAGTTTGATTGTGGAGATAAGGCAGAAAAAAGCTTTGCTTTGATTAAAAAAAGTTTAAGCATTACTCTAATTTTAACACTTTTAAATTTCATCATGTTATTTGAGATTGATTGTAATAAGTGTATATAAGCATTAATGTGTATTGTCCTAAGAAAACATTTGTAACATTCTTTAATAAAAAATTAAGTAATGCTAGATTGAAACAATTAACTTATAACAATGAGTTCTATACTATTTTTAAGACCTTGGAGAAGTTTAGGTATTATCTGATTGGGAAGGAATTTGTGTTATATACTAATCATCAGGTATTAAGAATTGTGTATAGCATAAGTGAATCAATAATTATATTTATATGAGATGAGTGAGTACCAATTCCTAATGAAAATAGTATACAAAATAGACATTCAAAATAAGATTGTTGATACTTTAAGTAATTTTTTTTTTATTAGTTACATAGAGAAGAGAGATTATTGGATTTAAGTTCTTGATAGACTTGTACAAGTATAATGAGGATTTTAGTAAGTCATGAGAAAAGTATCAAAATTAATTTGTTGAAATCATTCATAATGGATTATCGATAACAAAAAATAATAAGCTTTGCACTCATCATTCTTTATTGTAAAAGAAAGTGATTTTGGATTTGTATGAAGAAGGTTTGGTTGATCATTTGATGTGAAAAAAGACTATTGATGTTGTTAGTTAAATGTATTACTGGCCTAAATTAAAAATAAATATTAGTAAATTTGTGCAAAAGTGTTATGTTTTTGAAGGGAAAATACTTTTCCTTGCCTTTGCCTATTCCTTAAAATATATGGGAGGCAAAAGTGTTATGTTTTTGAAGGGAAAATTCCTTGCCGATTTATTTATGAATTTTATACTTAGATTACCCTTTACATAAAAGGAAATAGATTCTATATATTTGTTGTAATTAACATGCCCCAGAAATATTCAATGATGTTTCTTCAATTGCTCAATTTTTTTTGTTTTTGTTTTTTCTAAAAGGTTATTTGCTTGCATGAGGTATCAAAAACTATTATTTGTGATTGAGGTAGTTATTTTTGATGAAAATGATGAAAAATGTATGATTTATCTTTGAATTTCAATGGTGCAACACATGCAAATAAATAAATAAACAAACTCGTTGAATCAGATAGTAGGCAATTTGATTTGTAGTATCTGTGATGACAAAACCACAACAATGGGATGTTACACTTTTAAAAGCAAAATTCATATATAACAGTGCTAAAAAAAAGGCAACAGGAAAAACACTACTTGAAATTGTGTATATAATATCCTAGCATGTACTTGATCTTGTACCCATTTAAAAAAGTGCTAGTTGTAATACTGTTGTTGAAAAAACGGCTATGGTCGATTGGATCTTGTCTGGAAACTGCTGTTTATTTTTTAATTTTGTTCATTTTTCTACTTAATCTAGAACTCCATTTCAAAATAGGTCCAAGAGTTTTATTAGGTTTAGATTTTTCTAAGAAGATCAGTTTAACTTCTTATATAAACAACTTCTGGGAGTCCCTAGTTGTGAATAAAGAAAAGGGGAGGTGGTCTTCTGTAGGATTATCGAAACTGTAACAAAATCTGTTGAATTATGCGTTCAATACATTATTTATCCTTTGATTCACAAGAATTAATCATCATACGAGCAAAAGAGTGAGAGAAAGGACGCTTACACGAAGCATTTGATTCCACAAAAAGTCTAACGGGTTGACAGAGAAAAATTTATATCCGAAACAGTCAAACTAAAGACAAAAATTGATAAGAGATCCTCAAGGCACTATAGCTTCAGAATAGATTCAACAAGGTCGTTTAGAGGTGCAAGCTCCCCTTTGTCTATCAAGCGAAATTCCTGCATCAGGGCACAGTCCACAACATTAAAGCTTCAACTACAAAGCATGATAAGGATTCGGATTTTGGAAATGATTTAAGCAAAAAAGGAATTAGAGATCCTTGTGATTTCTGATGGTAAATAATTAGGCACACATAATGTACACAAAAAGAATCTGGCATGCAAGTGAAATGACATAAACTTGGAAGAAAGAAAGAAGCTCACCCATGTAAAGAGAACAAAATGCTTGAAGCAAGTATTTAGATGAGCTTCTTCCTTCAAGCTCACAATCTTCTGAAAATGTGAGTGATAGATGTGGGCGTATACACGGAATAATCGCTTAAAGATTGTCTTGACAACATCTTGGAAATTTGGAGGAAATGGCGCCCCTGTAAGCACATTAGAGTTAAATACAAAGATTCCCTTGCAGCGTAAAATAGTTAGATGAAAACAATCAATGTTTCAATAAAACAGCACACGTTTTCTTATCAAGAAATTCCACTAACCTAACTTTTGAGGGAAAATCAACTCATCATCAAGCTGAGCCTCAATCCAGTCCATTAGATATTCAACATACTTTGGAGCAGACACCTCAATTGGCTTCTTAATGGTAACTCCATCAGCCCATCTATACTCGTATCTGGGCGCAAAAATATAGGTGAGCACTTCATAAAAACATGGAAAAAGAACAAAAAATCAAGACCACAAAACTGCAATTTTAGCTATGACGAATCTCTAGCCATTCAAATCAGAAGGCAGAGTAAAACTTTTCAAATGTTATATGCTCGTAGCATGAGAAAACTTTAGCACAGGCATGACGCATCTGGCACAATAAACACAAGGATCATTTGAGCAAAAAAGAAAAAGCAAAACCAAACGCAATCTCCAGTCCTCCCCAAAGCATGCACACAAATGCAGTGATAGACACAGTCATGCATGCACACATATTCTCTCCTAGCCAAACCATAAAGAGGGAAATAGAGGTAGAAATATACAAAGATTACAGCAATTTAGCAAATCGTTTGCATTAACTTTCTACAACAAAAACTACAGACAGAACTTGATTGAGGGATTGAGAATGATACTTTGGTCCTGCTGTCATCGTTGGACAGTTTCCCGCCGTGCAGAATTCAGTAAGAGTGCCATATAAAATATTCATTTGATTGAAGAAATCCACGGCTGTAGAAAAAGAATATAAATGAAAAGATCAAATAAAACTGCGGAAGCTCAAAAAATCATTTTCCTTTACAACAAACCACAGATATTTACTTCTCAACTCCTATAAATCATTTGCATTCTGGAGTACAAAACGTAGAAATAAGAGTAGTGAACTATGGTACGTATTAAGAGAATTACAATCAGTTGAAAGCAATTAATTTTCAATTTCAAAGCCATCGTGTTCCTACATGAATCTTTCAGAAATTTGTACCAACTATCGAAATCTCCAGAGAAGAGACACCCAAAAAAAAAAACAATTATTTAACTATATGAATTTGTCTAGAAATATAGTTTCACAGAATAAAATAAATCCTACAGTGTGCGGAGTATCTTACTATTCACAGCGAGCCACTCGTTGATATCTTCTCCAGGAGGTAATCGCACAGCTTCCCTAAGGTTCCCACTACCCAAAGTAGCATCAATATGCCTTTGAAGTTGAACACCCTGCAATTCGAATAACAGTTACATCCATCCATTCCTTTAACTATACGCATAATAACATGAAGAGAGAATGAGAGGGGCCACTAACCTTACTTCCTGAAGGAGCATTCTTCTTGGGCCGAAATGTCTTCTGGTTTCTTCAGTTAACGTAAGCCGATTCCAACAAAAAGAAAAGAAAGAAAGATCAAATCCCAAATTTAACTATAAAACATAAATAAAAACGAATAGATGATTAGCAATTCCTAAAATATCTAGTTTCAACAATGGTGACAGAAAAGAAACATTCATTTCATTGATCATCAATTCATCACTAGCCATTACACAGAACATGAGAACATTTAAAGATAATCGTAATAATAAGAGAGATAGGAAATGGGAATGAGAGATAAACACTAATGGATTAAGAATCAAGTGCCCCACAAGAGGAAAAGGAAAGAAATACCTGCTGCCAAGACCAAAAAGACTCATAGTATGAATTTGTTTTCCTACCACTCAATACAAAACGCAAGGCAGAGGAAAGAAATTAAGGTGATTGTTACAAGTATAGAAACAAAGACAGAGACATATATACATATATTAATTAACGACTGACTGGCAAATACATGGAATGAGTAATCTCTCATCGTCTTTGTTTCTACTCTGTCAAGCCATATTGCCAAGGCTTAGGCTCACCTAATCTTTTCTTTTTCATTTGCCAACCCGCTTATCTGGCTGATCTACAAAAGGAAAAAGAATTTCCATATGATTGATCACCGCTCTTGATTTAGGATAATCCAACGATATTTAAGGTGGTTTGATTTTCAATGAAATCGGAAAGAATAATAAAGAGTTCTTTAATGAAAGTTGAAGAAAAAAAATAAAAAAATCTTTGGTCTCGAAATATAAAAGGGAAGAGAAATAGAAAGGTGGGACCAGAAAATGACAAGCATCTAGCTGTCTAGATTCTGTCATTTTGGATTGGGTCAAGCTTTGCTGTTGGTAGTGTTTCAGGATTAAAGACGTATGTATGTCTGGAGTTGTAATGGATCATCATCATCAAATGGAGAAGACTGATTCAGGTTGGCGAATCCATTCATCCATCATCATTCGTTGAATGATAGTTGTCTTTTGACAATACAATGGATTTTTTTTTTTTATTTAACGTGGATGTCCGGGCTAGCTTGCGCGTATCACGACTAATCTTTTTTTTTTTTTTATTTAACGTGGATGTCCTGGCCAGCTTGCCCACATCACGATTAATCCCACGGCCCACTAAACATTCTACAAGCCTAGTGAACAGGTAAGGCACCGTGGGGGTGACAAACGTACCACACAGAGAGGACCCAATAGAGACACGAAGGAAACCACTTTCCAACCCTACTGCCACTGGGACTCAAACCGAAATTCAAAAAAAAAAAAGCAGCACCTACACCACTGAGCCACAACCTGCTTGATACAATGGCTTTCTTAAATGCATGGATGCCAGCTTCTCTCTCTATTCCCGGCCACCTTGCTCATCAGTAAAAATAAATAAAATAAAATTACTAATAAAAAAATTAAAAAATAAATATAAATCAAAATATTCAATTACATAAAATAAAATAATTATTATATTGTATATATGATGTTATTTATTTAAATTAATAAAAAATAATATAAATAAAACTAATTGAATAAACTCGAACCTTAAAAAAACATTAAGTGAGACAAAACATATAAGAAATATTATTTAAAAATATTTTTATTCAAAAAAGACATGCAAAAAAAACTAATATAAACTCGTAAAAAAAAAAGACATGCAAAAAAAACTAATATAAACTAGTAAAAAAAAGGATAATTACAAAACTAATATTAAAAAAATAAACTAATGCAAAATGACAAGATTCTAAAATAAAACAAGCCAAAAAGAAGAAGAAGAAGAAGATGTATAAACTAATGCACAATGACAAGATTTGAACAGTATTAACTTTTCAAATTTATAATCTGAGTCATTAGACTAGAAGTGCTACAAATAGAAAAAAAGTAAATTTGAATCTTAAACAAATAAAATAAAAAAAGATAAAATAAAAAAATATCAATTATAAAAAAAAAAAAGTAAATTTGAATCTTAAACAAATCAAATATAAAAAGATAAAATAAAAAAATATCAAAATCTAAGAAAAACTATTAATTAAAGGAATAAGGGTGAAAATTAAAAATAATAATAATTAGAGGACAAACAAAAAAAATTTATTGGAGGGTTAAATTAAATTGAGAAATAGCTTTAAAAAGATAAAACAAATGAAAAGGATAATGGCAAAATTAGAAAAAAAAATATAACATAAACTTAGATTGAATGATGAAATTAAAAACTAATAAAACACAACAAAAAGGACAAGGAAATAAATTTAAAACAAAAAAATAAGAAATTATAATTGAAGGACTAAATTGAAAAAAAAACAAAACTTTTGTAAAAGAAATAAGAAAAAAATAAGAAATCAAAAGAATGATGACTGAAATTGAAAAAAAAAATAAAAAACTTTGATTGAAGGATGAAATTAAAAATCAATAAAACCTTAACAAAAAGCCAAGAAAATAAATTTTTATAGTTTGCTGTAAATCTTGATTAAAAAAACATAGAGTTCAGTCACTTGTTTTATAACTAAGAAAAATCTTGATTCTTGAGGTTTTTTGAAAATAAATCTTAATTTGATATATTTTAGATTTTTTTAAAAAAAAACAAGTAGTTTTTGCATCCATGTCTTTTTTTAGTTTCAGCCACCATATATATATAAAAATTGAAGGTTCTATTGTTATTTTAAATTATTTAAATCTTATTTTATTAGTTTCTTAATTTTCACAATCTTTTTTGTGTGTCTTCATATCATTTGTCTCTCAGAAGAATTTGTATTGATACTCATGTTTTTATATTTGTAATTTTGTATTGATAGTTCTTAGTTTATATTGTTTCTTGAGTTTTTGCATTATTTGATTTTATTGATAAGATATTAATCTTTAATGTTTTATGAACTAGGTCCTTAAATGGATTTTATTGATAAGATATTAATCTTTAATTTTTTATGAACTAGGTCCTTAAATGACTAAAATCTAAAGAATTGAGCGATGAGAGATGAATGTGAGTATATTATAGTGAAGAGTCAAGAATTTATGTGAAACATGAGATGAGTGACATTATTAAATACAAGTATGCGAAGGGGTGTATGAACACACATACACTAACTTATTTAATTTTCAACTCTTGATAATGTCAACCAAGAGTCAATAATCACTACCAGCCATGCAATGACAATTGGAGCTAAGGAATACAAGGTTTGTCGAGGTAATAAGTGAGATGGATAGTTTGAGAATCAGAATAATTAATATTTAAAATGGGCCAGACCATATAATTTTTAAAGGAAGAAGATCTATAAGATGAACTAATTCATTTCTAAAAGAATCTATTGCCAAAAATACTAATGAAGAGGCCAAATATTTTAATGATAACCATGATGGTAGGTTTTGGCCATATAAAAACCAATGGCCTAGGGAATTTGACCACTCGAGTAATTCAGCTATAAGAAAATAGAGTGGAAGGATGGATTTTAGAATGATTTGGATAAATATTTAGGAAGTATTAAAATGAAGATTCTAGCTTTTTAAGAAAAAATCAATTCAAAAGCTTATTTAGAGTGGAAAATAAATAAAGTTGATTTTTTATACTATTACTTGGTAGGATTAACTTGTTTTAGAAAGAAGGAATAAAAAGAGACCCATACATCTAAAGATGAATTCCTTACACATCCAAAAAGGATCCCTAGATGGTCCTCCTTTTCTTTTCTTTTATAGATTCTAAGATAATCCATTTTCCTTTCATTAAGATTGATTCCTAATGGTCATTCCTTTCATTATCATATAAATCCCAAGATGATCCCTTTTTATTTGTGTGGATCTCTAGCTGGTATTTTCATTTAATTGGTTTAAATTATGTCAAGGTTGGGTTACTTTTTAATTGATTAACATTTCAAAAATCTCCTAATAAAATCTTTTAAATTTCAGTGGTTTTTCAAATGTTTTTCACAAAAACTGGCTTTTCTTTATAAGCTTAGTACACAAATCCTTATACAAAATTTTGTAGTGTAAATATTATAAAGCGATGTTAACCATCATAACCTGTTTTGACCATCCTTTTCAAAATATTCTTCAAAAATCCAAGAAGATCAAGAGATTTAGAAAACATGTTTTCAATGCATTTCAACCATTCACATGTTTTCTTTATATAATTTCTAATTATTTTTTCCTTGTTGATATATTTTCAAAAAATCAAATTCAAAGAAATATATCTCCTGTCCAAATTATTGATGGAAGAACCATTATTAGAATAATACAAGTTTTCTTTTAAGTCTTTTTTTGGGGTAAAAATCCAAATAAAATTTCCTTCTATCTTGTATATGGGTTGAGTCTATCACTTCTTATATCTTGATTCAATAATAAACCTGGTATAAGAGCCATAAAAAAAAAAATATATGTTGCAAATACATGTTTAAAGGAGTTAGCAAAACAATAACAAGAATTAAAAAAAAATAGATTAAAGGGTTTAAAATACATCAAAACTCAAGAAGATTATAGCAAAATAGATATTACTTTGTGTGAACCTGAGCTACACTATAGAGCTATACTATTTTTTTTAATGTAAAATGATGTTTAAGTGTTGTAAATGCATTTTAAAAATAGAAGAAAAACTAGACCCAACTCAGTCAAATAAGTTGACTTTATTTTAATTAGATGACAATAAAATAGACAATAATTACAAATAGACCAAATCTTTTTAAAAAGTGATCATGATAACCTGGGAAAATATTATTGTTAAAAAGAAGATAAATAATGTGGCTAAATTCTTAGCTTGATAAATACAGAAGTATGAAATGTTTAAAAGAGGACTTAAAAAAATTTGTCATGGTTAACTCGAGTTAGAATGAAAAATCTTTAACCTCGGTAATCAGGGATGAGAAAACTTGAGTTATTTTGCCAAACTCATGACCCAAATCATGAGATTGGATTAACCCAATATAAAAAAATTACAAAGCCTATTTTTTAAAAATAAAAAATGTCAGCTCGCGTTAACTTTTCAAATACATAACTCGGGTCATTAGGCTCGAAACATCCTATCTAAAAAAACTATGATACCTAATTTCTGATCAATCAAATATTGAAGAATGAAATTGAAAAAGGTAATTTTAATTACACAAAAGGATTCAAAACAAAGAAAAACAACAAATAAAACAATGACGATAAAAAATAAAATACAAAATATATTTTATATTTGATTGAAGAGTAAATTTAGCAAAGGGACCTAAAGAAATATAGCAAAAGAATGATAATAAAGATTGACAAAAAAATAAAAATAAATTCTTGATTAAAGAGATTGAAAAGAGAAATAACTTTAACAAAAGAGAAAAAAATTCAAAAGAATGATGACCAAATTGATACAAATAATATATTATAAATTTAGATTGAAGAATAAAATTGAAAACAAATAAAACTTTTATAAAAAAACCAATAAAAAATAGAAATAAAAATAATAAAGATCAAAATGAAAAAATAATATATGATAAATTAAAAAAAATAAAAATAAAAAATAATAATTTTTGACAAAAAAGCTAAAAACAAAAATTAAAAGTGAAAAAAAATAAGGATTTGAATCAAAATATCAACACTAAAGAGGACTAACTTGACATTTTTAGGGAGAATAAAGAGACAGGAGGAGGCACCTTATAGGTGAGAAACGGCCTAATCACTATCAGCATGCATCGCCCCTAAAGAAAGAGGATACAACAACATTTTCAATGTCATGAAAAAAAAAGGATTTTCACTACTAAGACACACCATACACTTATTC